GCTCATGGGAGTCTAGCTAAGGAGGGGGGCATGCACCTGCCCCAGGGGCTCATGGGAGTCTAGCTAAGGGCATGAGGGGGGGTGTGCGCACGCTGCCCCGGGGGCTCATGGGAGTCTAGTTAAGGGCATGGGAGGGCAGGTGCTGCCCCAGAGGCCCATACCTCAGCAGCTGATGGGAGCCTGGCTACTGTGTGACGGTGGCCAGCTGAGCTCCTCTCCCCCCCCTCTCTTGGGGGGCCTCCCAGCCACTTGGGGGTGGCAGAATGTAAAGGTCCTCTTCACTGCTGTCCCATGGGTGGGGGGAGCTGGCCCCACAGCCCTCTTCGCCCCCCAGCACTACAGACCCTTCTATAAACTAACCACCTCCCCCTTTCTCTCCTCCCCAGGACTGAAGGGCAGGTACCCTGGGGGAGCCTCAGGGCTGATAAAAGTGTCCCCATCCCCGCACACAGAGACTGAGGGAGGATGCCCACAGCTGGGTCTGGCTGCCCTCCCCTTCAGGCCACAGCAGGGCAGCCATACCTGCCCCCCACTGCCCTGAGTCAGAGGGGTGGGGCAGGAGGACACCTGAGCTGCTGCCCAAGCAAGGGTCTGGCTCAGGCCATGGGAAGTCCAGCTCCAAGGGCTCTGCCCTAGAGGATCCTGGGAGTCTGGCTCAGGCGTAGCCGCTGGAGGGGGCTGACGGGAGCTGCCCCGCACACAAGGACAACTCTACTCGCCAGCCGTGTTCCAGGCCTTTATTAACCCCACTGTCTCCCCCCAGCTAGGGGTACGTGTCTCGCCGCTGCAGCCAGGGCAGCCGCGCCCGCAGCAGCACGAGGCAGCCCAGGATGCCGAGAGCAGCCAGCAACGCGACCCCCAGCCCTACGTACACCAGCGTGGTGACCCAGAAGGCGAAGAGGTAGAGGAGGCGGTGGCAGAAACGCGGATTGTGGGGGTCCTTGTACTCTGGGGGGTAGATGGAGTAGACCCAGATGTTACCTGGGGGGGAAAGACTGGAGGTCAGAGGTCAAGGCTGGCTGGGGAGTGGACCCCAAACTAGGGTGACCAGATGTCTCGATTTTATAGGGACAGTCCCCATTTTGGGGTCTTTTTCTTATATAGGCTCCTATTACCCCCACCCCGTCATGATTTTTCACATTTGCTGTCTGGTCACCCTACCCCAAACCCAGCCAAGGGGAGCTGATGCCAGTTCAGAAAGGGGCAAACCCAGCAGGGGGGAGAGGACCCACCCAAATGGGGCACAGACTCTGGGGACCCTCCCCAGCTAACCCCCCCCCCCAGCCTGCCCCAAGGCAGGGAGTGGGGAGCCAGTGCCCTAGAGTTAAAGCCAGGTCCTCGGGGAAGGGAGGCAGTGGGAGCCAGGCGGGGCTCAGGAGATAATGGAGAGGTACAGGGGGTAGCGGGGTGATCGGGGCCTTGGGGGCGCTCACCAGCGATGAACCACACGAAGAGGAAGAGCAGGAAAACCGCCCTCCAGCCACGGGCGCCAGGGCTCAGCTGAGGGGGGTCCGTCCCATCCCCGCAGGGCAGGCAGGTCAGCAGTAGGAACAGCAGGACGGTGCTGCCCCCCACCAGCAGGTAATAGGGCAGCAGGGACTGGCGGGGGCACTGGCCCAGGTACACGGCTCCTGGCATAGGGAGAGGGGGGTGGGGGGTCAGTGCCCAGGGCAGCCCCGGCCCATAGGGGGCACCCACACGGGGTGGGGTCAGCGCCGGGAGGAGCAGGGCAGACACTCACCGATGACAATGCTGGCAATGGGCAGCGCCGAGACCACCACCTTCCCCAGGACTGGAAGAGAGAGACCCGGGGTTAGGGGCAGGCTGGGGGGGAAGGGCAGGGGTCAGAGAGCCCCCCGGGGGCCCAGCACTTACAGCTCAGGGCAGGGTGCACAGGGGACTCCACAATGCCTGGCAGCAGGGGGGCCCTGCTGCCATCTGGGTCCTCAGCCATGTCACGGGGTCTGGGCAGCAGGAGCTGGGGACATAGAGTGGGTTAGCGCTGGAGTGCCCCTCACTCCCGACCCACAGCCCCTGGTACCCCAGCCCTGAGCTCCCCCCTCGCCCAGCGCCCCTCCCTCCCGACCCACAGCCCCTGGTACCCCAGCCCTGGGCTCCGCCCCCTCCCAACACCCCTCA